TGGTAGATCTGTGGGGGTGCTGCCTGGGGCAGCTCCAATGATTCCGATTTGGCCTTGTCTCCTTTCCATGGCACGCAACTCATGTTTTTCGTTTTAGGTTCCAGACAGGACTAAAAACACCCCGCCCTTCCCTCCTGAGGAAGAAGGTAATCCTCTGAGTCTTTTCAGGGCTCCTGAGGCCCACCTTATTTTCTGGTGTCCATGATTTATGCTTTGTCACTGGGAGAAAAGGTTGGAATCCAAAGAAGAAAAAAAAATCCACTTCTCTCTTCTCAACAGAAAATAACCCTTGGATTACTTTATTTCACTCCCACTGCCAAAACGCGGAGTTTGAAAAAAATCATATAAAATCTAGGACTTGGTTTCTCTTCTCTCACCCTCCTTTCCCACCCCCCTCCAAAAACCACGATTTCCTTGCAGTGTTTTTATTCCTCTCTGCAAACACCAGACAGGCCTCAAAGCAAGCGAACTGAACGGAGCGGATCACATCGCTCCTTTTCTTCCATTTCTTTCGAACCACACCACCGACTTAGGAGACAAGGCCTAGGGGTTGGGTAAAACGCCAATTCCGAGCAGTCAGCGAGGGCCGGCCAACGAGGGGTCGCGGGCCGCGCTGGGGGCTCGAGGATGGCGCTCCATCTTCTCGGGTGCGGTGGGCCCCATGCGGCGCAGGCCGTGGCGAGCGCCGCTCCGTCGGGAAGCGCGGACTCTTGACCCCTCGCCGCGGCCCTGGAGAAAAGACAAGTCCGGTCAGCCTCGGCGGTCCGTGCCGCCGCGGAACGCCAAGCTGGCCGGGGAAGCGGCGCGGCGGGTGCGGTCCCTAGCCGAGGGAAGGTTCCGCGCGGCGGCGCGCAGCCCGCGAGGGGTGGGGCCGGACAACCGCCTCGCCCTCTGGGGCCCGGGCGCGAAGGGACGGGCCCCTGTCTCGCTGCTCCCACCCCAGCCTCTCCGCCCGTCACGTGAGCGCAAGGCGAGGCGCCCTCCTGCCGTTTTCTCACCGTGGTCCCCAGCAACCGCCAAGACAACTTGCGGATACGCCAACCGTCGCCCCCTCACCTCTACCGGTCGCCACCTGGAGCCGTCGGCCACCACCTGGGCCGCGCACGCG